CTGCAGAGGGAGGTGGACCGGCTCGGGGCAGAGAACGCGGGCATGAGGAAGGAGCTGGAGGGGCTGGGTGCGCGCCTGGCAGCACTGCAGAGGTTCGCCCGTGGCCTGGAGGCAGGCGGGGGCAACCTGCTAGCCACCGCACCGCGACTCAACACTGCCTCTGTCATCACCATCGTCAAGAGCCCCGCCCAACAGCAGCAGCAACAGACGCACAGGGAGCACGAGCCGTCCTAGGACCGCCTCAGGAGAGAGGGAGGAGGAGGAGGAGGAGGAGGGGAGAGGAGGGAGACAACTTACAATGCAAACTCACACTCAGACATCCTGTTTAAAGAGGACGTGATTTATAGACTGTAGTGATGTGTGGAGGCTACGAGAGCTGCATGCACATTTTGGACATCCACAATAACTAAAATACTATTTAGTTACAAAGCTGATGTTGGCATTACTACCAAAAATTGTGATATGATAGTTGTCCTTAAACATTTTTTAACTTGCAATTAACAGGAAAATTGTGTCTAGTCAGTTATTGTGTAGAGGACATTAATAAGTATTAGTTTTAATAGTCAATTTGTCCCTACCTGGATTTAACATGGTCTAGTACCGTGTTTCTCAAACTGAGGTGCACGTTCATCCTCTGGTGGTACATGGTACTGCAGCTTTGAGCATTTTCTTAATTTTGACACAAATCTTTTCACATTTCTTTTTGAGTGAATCATTCTCAGACTAACCTTTCCATGATTTAGTCTCATTTTAGAGCATTTTTAGCTGTAATTTTGGTTTTAGATCTGGTGGTACTCGGAAAACCAAAAACTATCATGCTGGTGTGTAAAAAGTCTGAGAACAGCTCAACTAGCTATCAAAATGTGCACGCAGGATCTGTAGAATGCAGACATGGAGTGTTGTTGGAAATAGCATTCGGACAAAAGCTTGCGTTACACATATTATCTTGAATATGGAACTATTCTAACTACAAATACAGATCGTAAAGACGTTGTCCTATGCCATTTCCAACGCTAACGCAGTTGGACAGAACAGATTTTGTCGACTCTTCAGTTTTTGTGACTGAACTTAGACCTATGTGTTGGACTAGAGACTACACGCAATGCACTTAGTCTGGTTCATGACAAACGCCTGCAAAAACGTAAAAACTAGTTACTGTCCGCGTTCACTGTGATGTCATTGGGCCACCGCATCCTCACGGCTTCTCACAGCGCTGCATTCAAGTCCCTCAGACATTTTATTATGCCGTGCCTTCAGTCTACGTTGGTGTATGCAAACGTAAAGGGAGCCAGCTCTCACTATGGACTCCCCCGAACGCGTCCTTCCATTTTTTGCGAGTCAGCTCCTCTCGCGATGTGCAGTAACCTCACGGCTGCTTGTTGGTTTTCTATGATAGTTAATGTATGTACGTGTTATAATGGTGGACTCCCAAATGCAAAATGTTGGTTGTTTTAGCTCAATCCACGTGCATCTGGTAGGAATTTCCAAATAGATGCAAGTCTGCGGAAGGTGATTTGGTTCACCTGATTTAGAGTTTTAAATGCTGAATTTCTCACGTTAAATTTTTAAACTCAGAATAAACATATATGAATTGTTTTCATTTTGAATTTCAATTATATAGTGAAAGTATACATTTTCAGTGTCTTTAAAAGTCAAAATAAAAAAAATAAAAAATCACCTTTTTAAATATTCAGAACATTTCATCAAGCAAATTCAACAGTCAAAATTCAGAGTGTAAAATTTGCAGGACTGATCCAAGATGCTAAGGCATAAGCAACTGATTGTGTGTAACTGAGGAGGCCATTTCCTAATGGCCGTTCTCTTCTGTGGTTTGGGCTTAGTAATTGTAAAGGAATTGTAGAGATAAGGTTTTAATTAGTTGACCAATCAAGCCAGTTCCTTACAGCATTTCCTGGTTAAGTTAGATTGAGTCATTTAGGAGCAATTGCTTCTGCCTTGGCATCTTGGACTTTTACTGCTGAATTTTTCAATGCAAATTTTACACTCTTTTGACTTTTAATTTGGGAGCTTGAAAATACATGTCCTGAATATTTAAAAGATTTTTTTTTTTTTTTAAAGACTTAAGACTTAAAATTCAGATATTCAGAATAACAATTCAAACATGTTTCAAGTTTAAAACATTCAAAATGAGCAATTAAACAGCATTAAAATTTTTTAATCTGATGAAACAAGTGATCTCCCATACAAGTCCTCTGCATACATTCCTGTTTTTTGCTCTTCTTTGTACTGTTTGTATGTGCCGTTAAGAGACGAAAATGTTCGGTGACATTTATCAGAGATATATTCTATATTTTATTTGTATTTAAAGTTAGATATTATGAGAAGACAAGCTAACGAGTGCTGTGACGTTTCGTATGTTCCAGAAGTACTTACCTATGACTAGTCTGGGGGGGATCTCCTCTGTCTAATTATTGTATTGTGAGACGATGATTACAAATGTTAATTATTAGCTAAAACAAAGTAGGAATATATGCTCAAAGCCAATGGCCATAATGCTGTAATATGATTTGTGTGTTTGTAAACGGCTTGTCTTAGTGGATCCTTGGAGGGACATTATTTTTCTATGCTGATTTGTATGTTAAATGTCTGAATTGTCAGGGCAGGATGGAGAGGGAGAGGAGTGAGATGAAGAGACTAATGAAAGTGCGGTAGAGATGTGTGTGTCAGGGATTTCATTTGAAGGAGACAGGAAGTAGAAGTTGGACATGGAAAGAAGTGGGCGGAGCTTTATTCACTTGAACCTCCAGCGGTCGTGGGCCTGTTTATAGACGAACAGCCTTAGATTGGTGGAGTCTAGGCCACTGACAATGCTAGCAATACAATATGATGTGTGTGTAGAAGCAGGCATTGTGACAGAAAACTCCTACAGATATGATGAGGCATATATTTAGCTATATGAATATATGTGTGTCCAAGCATTTATCCTCAATATTGTATGTCTGTCTGATTGTGCTGGATGTTTTGTAATACCTGCAAAACAAAATGGTCTTTGTATTTATTACTTGTATTTTTTCTATTGTGAAAATTTAAGTACATTGTCTATTTTATATATTAATTATAATAAATGTTGTACATATTGTACATACAACAGTGTGATGTGGTTTCCAGTCGGATAGTTTCAGTGTTAGGTTAATGTACTTGGTGTCATCATTTCAGACGGAGGGAGGGGTCTCTACAACAATGGGATTTAATGTTAATGTCAACATTTGTGGATCATCTTTCAAAAAACATCTCTCACAGGGTAATGGATATCATATAGCCTTCATGACAAATTAAACAATGTTTATTAATATGCACTGCCTTTGAAATAAATGAACCATTTCATTATTTGTTAGGAATTGCGCCTCAGACTTGCCATAGTAAACATATTAATATTTTTAACACTTTTGTTTACTTAGGACCCTCTAATTACAAAGATATAAACTAGAGATCGACCAGTGTTTTTTTTCATAGTCAACACTGATATTGTTTAGGATCCAGAGAGACCAATGGCCAATAAGCTCTGCCGATTTTTGGGGGGGATGATATGTAGTGCAGATTTTGATCATTTTACCCAAATGATCTCATTTGAATCTAGTACAAACCCATCCATGACCTTGTCTTAGTACAAACTGGATAAGATAGCAGTATGGTCACATTGCTGCAGTACCCTCTTTGGACTTAAGCGTTCAAATAAAGCTTTATGCATATACTCTTTATGCATAGGAGGCAGCTGGTTGACCAAACTAAATATTCATATCTAATAGGCTAAAAAGTGCAAATATCAGTCCAATACATCGGTCTATCTCTAATATAAACCAGGTCAACAAATCTGCAATCAATTAAACAGCACTATACTATACTTCTATATAATTCTGGTCTACTTTACAGCTTTCCAGTTTAAACATTCACACAAAATTCTAGCAGTAATCTAGAATGATCTATTGAATGTAGCTTAATTTGAGACAACCATAAGACTGTGGGCAATTATACTTTTCTTTCATTTTCCTACCATACCAAATTAGATTAGGAACACCACACATTGTTCGGTAAATCGGTTTGACACGATATACATATGCTATGTTCATTATTACTCAATTTAGCAACTACTCACCGCAGTCAGTGAGATCAGCATTTTTCACAACCCAAGCCTCAGATGAAATACAGTTTATTTTTTCTTCATACAGCGACAAATGGAAATAAAAAAAGACCATAAAAATACAAAACTATTTTCCTGCTTAAACCGTTTAACATACATATATTTTACTATAGCTGTTGTCATCTGCACTTATTTACACATAGGTACATTTACAGTATATTGAGCAACAGTGCAAGACAAGATGGAAAAACATTGAATCATGGCAGTAAAGTGCAGAATAAAAGGTACTGTCTAATCATACAGTCATTAAGGCAAAGTAAGAAACATGCCTTGAAATGTGTGGAACAGGTATGAGCGCTTCCCCTTTAAGAAAACATGTCTAAAATAAAATGAGAATCTATGACAAGAAGCTTTTTGCATTAGGATTTGAAATGAAAATTGTAAACTGTATTTGAACACAGGGGAGTAAGTTTGATTGAGTGTCTGTTAATGTGTCTCTTGAGAATGTTTAAAATCAGTGGTGGAAAGTAACAAAGTATAAAAGTAAAAGTACTGGACAATATCTGAGTACATTTTACTGTGGAGCAGGTATCTGTCATTTATACTCAACTGCATGTTTCAATGTAACTGAAAAGTAAAGTACAAATCATCTAGAGTTTTTTTGAGTTTTTAGCATGTCCATGGTGACATTTTGTGCAACGTTTTTGAGCAAACAAAAGATTTACAAATTTAAAAAAAATAGATGATTTAAGTTATAGATTTAGTTTCTTAAAAAATACGTATTTGATTCTTAAATAGTTCTCAAAATCAGTGTGAAATACTTTTTTACATTAGAAGTATATTTTAGTAGATACTTCCAAACATTAGATTTTTTATGTGATACTTTTACTTGAGTATTTTGTTGCCCCTGTATCTGTACTTTTACTTTCTTCTTCCACACCCGTTTGAAAGAATGTAACCGAGATTGTAGAAATGACCCAGTCAGCACAAGTCAGCACATTTTGAAATAGCATTTGCAAATAAGACTTGTAATATTGTTCAAGTTCATGTTTGAAGTTACATAGGAGAGGCCAAACTGACAAAACCTCCACAATCAAGTCTGTGTGCGTGAAGATAAGACTGAAAAAAAAAAAAAGACTAAAGAATTACAGTGTTTCTGGCGTCTTTGTAGCGCCCCCTGCTGTCAGTACCGAGCTACACCACACAGGAGAAAGTGGCCCCATAAACACGTCAGCACATTGGGCATGAGTCACTCCTATGAGTCAGGAACAAGCAATTATCTGAAACCGCAGCAAAAACAGGCTTAAGTTAAAATAAAATATTGACTGGAAGAACCTACAAATGTTCCAAGTATAGTAAATCCAATTCTGAAGAAGTTAGAACACTGTTTAAAAATGGAAATAAAAAAAAAAGTCATGGTTGACTGATCTAAGAATAGATGCATTCAAAACAACAAATCTGGTGTTTAAAGAGAACTAATTTTGGAAATATATTTAAATAAACCTTTTTAAACATTTAGTGAAACAAATTTGGCAGTTATGATTTGTTTACCTTAGCATTTTTCAAGCTAATTTACACTAATCTTTCAAAATATATTTTAAAATAACATTTATTTTTGTTCTTTACTACTGTTTATCTTCAACACCTTTCAGCGCACAAAAAAGTGTACTGCATTAATGCATGAATAACTATCTCCAATTTAATACCCAGAGTTGCAACTTTTTCAGGTTTTCAAAATAACATTACTTTTGTAAATTGTGCACCTCAAAAAATAAATAAATAAAATGTAGTGTAATAGTTCCTTGGATGACACTGGGCGATTCTAAATATAACTGTAACCTACATTCCACCTCTGTTGTCTCTCTATCCTGATAACCCACATTGTGAGCAGCTAGACTGGTCGAGAGCTGGACTTTATAATCCCTCTCTGATAACGTCCCAATTACAGCCGCTGTGTAATCCCACTGCCTCTGCTTCTGCTCCTGCCTCCAGACCAGATGTGGCGGACCTGATCTATAATAATCACGTTTTCATCTGCCCTGGCCATATTGTAAACAGCACAGGGTGACCAGATTTTCAAAATAAAAAACTGGGTCATTCCTGGTTTGGGTTGGTTGGTAATAATAAAATTAATTCAGGAAAATTGTTATGCACTTAGCACTAATTTGAGTAAGTATAGTCAAATTTTCTTTGGGTTTTGATCATTTTAAAGCAACTTTTCTGTATTTTACCTAAACAAATGATGATGTATGCCTCTTTACTGTTGGCAGGTATCAGATTGGTCAAAAATAGGGACACCTGGGACATTTCTTGTATGAAACTGGAACAAATCACTGGTTTTGGATAAATCTGCTGGGACATGGGATACAGGGCTCAAAACTGAGACTGTCCTGGGTAAATAGGGACGTTTGGTCACCCTAAAACAGCATTGAGCTATACGACGCAAGTAAGGCTAGCTTGCTGTGAAATACTGTGGCTAAGATAATGAAGAGCAAATTGGGGATGACTTGAGTAGACCATTTTGTAAATGTGTAAACAAAAGATGTAAAAGGCTATATATTGATACTAGCCTAACCATCTAAATTCTTACACCATATAAGTTAGTTTGGTTCGCAGTTTGGTTAGAGTTACATTTCCAGGCACAAACAAAGCAACTACTGAACTACTACTGAATGCAAGTGAACACACCTAACACAATTGTGAATATATTACGTGGTAACAAAAGTAAAAATTTACTTTGGACTTTTTGAAAGTTTCAGCTAATAAAAAAATGCATAAACGGCAGCCTTAGTGTTGCTAGCATAAAATTTAAAAAATATATATTATAAGAGCTAAAACGGAACTCCTTACTGCCCGAAATGTAGGACAGTAATCAAAACATAAAAAAATATAATAAAAAATGTATCAAGTCATATTTCTGTTGCCCGTACTGAGGTGTGTTGCTGCCAAAAATCGATGTAAACTATTACTTGAATTACCATAAAATAGAAAATGTTATATATTATAGTTGGATTAGCATCTCTTTACATTTTATGCTAGTAGACTAAATAGCCTATAGCTTTTCCCTTTAAATGTGCTGTACCTGATTTTCACTGTCCCAAAAACTGGAAAAACAGAACCAGCTCATTTTAAACATATTGCAATGGTCCAAAGTTACTCTGCACTTCCTTGCATCTTAATTATCCCCCACAATAAGTTTTAAGAATTTTCCCAACTGTCACAGGCCAGTGTTTTGCTCTTGTGCTAATGCTAATACTAACAACAACTAGCATACTAACACCGCTTCAGCCCTCCTTTCTGGTTTGTGGACGATAAAAACGCTTTATAATTAGATGCAGACAGCACAGAGCGGTCTCATTTTGACTCTAAGAACTGCTTTTACAATGTATCTGTTCTTAAAAAATGAGTACAGTCTAAGGTGACCAGATTTTCAAGATAAAAAACTGGGACATCCCTGGTTTGGGTTGGTTGGTAATAATATAAAATTGTGAAACGAGTGCATAATTAAGGAAAATTGTTATGCACTCGGCACTAATGTAAGTCAGTATAGTCACATTTTCTTTGTATTTTGGTCATTTTTAAGCAGCTTTTCTGTATTTTACCTAAACAAATGACAATTTATGCCTCTCTTTACTGTTGGCAGGTATCAGATTGGTCAGAAATAGAGACACCTGGGTCATTTCTTGTACAAAACTGGGACAAATCACTGAATTTAGATAAATGTGCTGGAACAGGGGACACAGGGCTCAAAACTGGGACTGTCCCGAGTAAATAGGGAAGTCTGGTCACCCTAGTACAGCCCCCTTCACATAAATCACTATGTCGCCTATACAAATGACTCAGCTAACCAGTCCGCCATCTTGCATTAGATCATTTTAACACCAAATAAAAAATAAAGTAAAATCTGTCTTTAAAATTCATCATCTGAGCTGAGGAGCAGAGTCTTTTCGGTGTCCCCGCGGGTGCTAAGGGTGCTCAGGGTGCGAGACACGGGCTGGGGGGCACCCTGCTCTAACGTGGACTGCTGGGTGTACTGCTGGTAGGCCGGGGAGAAGTTGTGGATGGCGTCCTGGACCATGTCTCCGGGGCTCATGGTCTCCTTCAGGCTGCTCGAGATGCTCTTCATGGGGGCACAGCGACCTGCACAGACGGGAAAGAGTGGTTAAGGACAGGGGGATATGAACAGAGAGACAGAGAGAGAAATAGAGAGCATGAGAGAAGGAAAGCCAAAGAAGAGGGCTGAAAGAGAAGGAGAGAGAGAGAAGGAGAGGATAAAAAGAGGAGAGAGTAAAAGAGGGAGAGAAAGAGAGGAGAGAGACAGAGAAGAGGATAGAAAGAAGGAGAGAGAAAAGAAGGGAAGAAGAGAGAGCGAGAAGGAAAGAGAGAAGGGAGAGAGGTAGAGAGAAAGGAGAGAAAGACAGAAGGACAGAGAGAGAGAGAACAAGATAGAGAAAGAGAGAGAGGAAGAGACAGAGGAGGGGGCATTACAGGGACATTTATGGAGAGATGAAGCAATGGAGGATGGAGATGGTGAGACTGGAGTGAGTAAAATGAAAGACAAAAGGCAAAGAACTACAGGTTTAGCTTCACAAATGGGAGGGAGGGAGGGCAAAAAGTAAGGAGCTTACAAAATAAATTGTTTAACAAAAAAATATGTGGGCAAGAGTTCAGTTGCAAAAACAGATATTTCTATTTTGAAAAAACTGTATTACCAGTATCAAGGAGGGATGGAATTATATTTGGAGTACAGCAAAAAAAAAAAAAAAAAAACTTTTTAAAATGGCATTCAGTATCTGTTTTTGCAAATGAGTCTTTTCAATATATTAAGGGAAGAATATGGCATTTTCAAGATTTTGGTGGGGATAAAATGACAAAATATTTAAAAATGATTTAAATATATTTTAGCAATGAACCTACCAAACTCTCCATATGTGGGAGTAGGTCCTTTAGAGTGCAGCAGAAAAGAGACAGAAATGCAGATGGGTGTACAGAAATATTGACTACAATGTAATGGATTGTAAAGTCAGTAATAGAGGTGGACAATATTGGAGTATCCCATTAATGATAATCAGACAATGATATGTCAATCAAACAGAAATGTGCTAAAACATGTCTTAAGAGGTGCTAGTTGAAGTTTAGGTATCAGACAAGACAGAAATATCACTGTATAACCTTACTTTTACGTTAACATAAATTTTCCTCCATTTTCAGTTTTAATCCGCTCTTTTGGCAGCATATTTTAATTATAAACAACATACGCAATATTGAAATTTTGCATATCTTAAAATTGTACAATATCATATCTGCTTAACAGGTATGCAAAAAATATGTCTGTAACTGGTCTTAATATGTATTTCTAGATTAAATGCTCTCTATAATTTTACAATGTAATTTAAGATAAACATAACATCTGTTTAGATAAAAATATTAAGTTATTTATCTCATTTCAGAACTATTTTAAGCCATCTTACCTTGCAGATCTAAACTTTTGTCCATGTAGACTCTGTAGGTGAACGCGTGCCTTAAGGCCAGTGCCGCGAAGAACATCTCTATGCAGATGATAAAGTTCTGGTAACCAGCGGCAACAGTCCCCTCCCCCACCGACACTTCCACGGAATTTATCTGTGGAATGGCTCCGCACTTTTCCAAGATGGCCAGCAGCATGCCTAACCAGAAATAGCAACATCATTACTAACAACATCTAGCTTTCAAAGTGTAAAATTGTGAATAAATTGGTACCTTGCCAGAAAGAGAGGAAAATTACGGATTTGACCATGAAAAACTTAAGCATGGGGCTGTAGGGGCTGAGCAGTTCTCTGGTGGCGAAATAGAACAGGAACAGAGCGTACAGAGAGAGACTGACTGAGATGTTGTAGATGATGGTCACGTACAGGTAACCGCTGGCAACGCTGCAATGACAAAAAGAGAAGACAGTCAGCTTTCAGGAGGTCAGGGGAGCCATGGTGGTTTGGGTCTGATAATGCAGTGTTACAGGTCATTGATTAACGGATCTACATTTGAGATCAGGATTAAAATATGAGCAGTTATGTAAGGTGGTGATGAGAGGATAAGTAATAAGCAAATTTAATCAGAGAAGCAATTATTTAAAGATGGGTGTCAACGGTACTCAAAATAAGTAATTTTTAAAATATTTTTAAATTGGACAAAATCTGATTTTTTTCCCCCTAAAGTGATTCCTGTAAGAACTATAATGTAAAAATTGAATCTCTTTAATGAATGTACTTTAAAGACATGCTTTGCAACTTTTCATGTGTGGGAGTCTGCCGATAGCTTGTCTTCATGGAGATATGCTTTGCCTAGAATAAAATTTAATTACAGGTATACTAACTTGAAAAACATGCACTTACTCTGGCATCACATGCTCACCTCCATGGGGATAACTTTGCTGTGGAACATTCTAGGCAAAGCAGTAACATCACCACCCTCGTACATAGTGCACTTTAACTTTTACCTATAACTTTGAGTCACTCCCTTTTCCAGTTTATCATTTTAAAGCTAGATACTCAAATGTAGCTCCAAACCTTTGTACACATCTAATATGGAGTAGTGGCATCATGTTCTTTGGGGGGTTGAGCGTAGAGGTGGGCAGATAAGTAAAATATGGATAATATCAGCATGACTGAAGTGAAGTATTAGAACTAGTAGTAGTAACAAATAATGAGAGGAGTGCGTACTTGAAGTCCCCGTCCTTGTATTTGCCGTAGGCCTGCAGGACCACTGTGATGATGGCCATGAGAGGTTTGACCACACAGAACTGCAGAGTGGCCTGTTTACAGAAGCGCAGGAACCCGATGGAGTAGGCCTTCCCTCGCAGACAGCACGTACCGTACATACAGCTGGACCTGAGGGACAAACATGATGTAACCGGTGTTTATTTAGAGGAGAGACAAAGAAATGTGATAAAACTGAGAGAGGTGGACCTACTCGATGGACTTTCCCCTGATCTCTGACATGATGGTGCTCTCTCCTCCCAAGTACTCATAGCACAGGCTCAGGAAGTTGTAGATCACAAATGCTGAAAGAAAAACAAAACAAAACCGAACTTTATTTACTATTTTACTATAGACTATACTAAGAAAACAAATGTGACCCATCATGGAGCAGTGAATTTATTTCACAAACTATGGTAATGTTAGCCTTAACTCCCTAAAAGATTTGAATCAAAAGAGAAAATATATGGTAGGTATTTCATTATCATAACCATCTCAAGATTTATCAGTGATAAATGATAAATCAGATTATTCAAGTCAACAATATATTTGTATGAATTATTATCTACACTATTTTAGAAGCAAAATGTAGTAAGTTCAAATTAATATATGTTCAAAAAAAATTTTTTTTTAATCTATTGCTTTATTATTCTAAAATTGGATTTCATAAATTGAGTCACACACTTTCACTTCTGGTTATGGTGTCAATAAATTTGATGTTTCTTTTCATAATAATAAATAAGCTAAATAACAAAATAATAAAACCAGGACATGCCTACAGTACACTAAATGTGTGATATCAAGTTACCAAAACAAATACTGGATACAATTTTATGTCAGTGTACACAGATAACACTCATGCTTGTAATTGCCAATTTATATTGACACCATTTTTTTCTATACCTCTATACAACTAACTACATGAGATTTGTGCACTAATAAATACAACCTGCTCTTCCTATTGAGGCTTAGTTATGTTTTAAGTATGTATGAGATAAGTAAGAATAACAGTGAAACTGTACACAACATGCCAGCTTTAACACACAAAACGTATATAATTACAGAGTTTCCCAACACCAGACTATGCTGGTTTGATTTAGCTTTAGACAGAAGTAGACAATATGACTTTGATGTGGGCTGCATTGATGTGGCAGGGGTTTGTTAAACACGACATTTCCCGTGTGACCTCCCCTGAGCGGTCTCTGGTGCACAGGTGGATTATGGGTCGTCTTTGGTTTGAGCTCATCAAAACAACGGTGGGATAATCCTGTTAGCCTCGGGGGAGCTAGCTTGCTCTGTGTTGGGAGTCCTCATGTAGAGTGAATGAGCTTGTGTAATGGTGAGGTAGGATGAGGTGATGACACAGGCGTGTTGTGAGCTGTGCAAGTCTTGTGCGTGTGTGTGTGTGTCTGTGTGTGTGAAAGAGGAGGGGAGAGGAGATAGAAGGGTGCAGACAGCAGGAAAGAGTGTGCGCCTGTGTGTGTGAATGGGAGAGGCTCTGGAATCTAAACTGTAATGCCTACCAAGCATTTTTTTACCCTGCTGTAGTGCACATGTATCAGCAGGTTTTGCAAATAGTTGTTTTTTTGCCAAATATTTTCTTGAACTATAAAACTTTTTGGAAATTATTAGAATTAGAGATTTCCATAGCACATGCCGTGACAGATATTTTAGAATCCAGAGCAGCAGATGGTTGCTAAAGTTTTATTTGCTGATTTGCCCAAAAATACAAACCCAATAACTGTCTATACTAGGTTTACCTATCTTTTTAGGAATGAGGGCTACTTCAAGAACACTAGTTTTTCAAGGGCTATCAGTTCAGAAACGTATCCAAAACATAAAAAATTATACTACTTAAATGTAGCATATTAACCTTTATCATGTCACAAAGTCGTGAGTCAGAACAGAAACCACTTTGTTTTCAAGAATCAGACTGAAAAAAAAAAAAAAGTTTCTATATTTAGAAAAAGTCTACAAGGGCAGCCCCAAACTGCACCAATGGAAAAGTCAGGTCTCCTTTGCGCCACTCAGCTACACTTAAGTCTGATTGTGTGACTGCCAGTATATTTCTGTTACATTGTGAGGCCTTAGTTTTTTTTAAATTATCTGCACTGATGGCTGTATATTTCACATCCACAGAGCCTCAGCTGTTTACCAACTCATCTCTCCAAGGAGCCCGAGTGACTGCAGCGGTTGCCACGGCGATACAGTCGGTCTATACACAATGAGACCGGAGACAGTGAGATGTGGGGAGGTCTGAGTGATGCCTTTAGTGTCGGAGATGGGACAGATTTGTGACGCTGTTGCTATGAGACAGGTTGGTCAGCCATGCTATCTTAGACAGAACTCCAAAGCAACAAGAACATACCAAAAATACTATAAGGATTCGGCAAGAAAGTTGGCAAGGAAAAGAGACAGGAAGTAAATTTGTAGGAGCAGGTTGGAGGCAAATGTCTGTGGGCAGGACTTCCTGCTCTGGGCACATCTCTCCATATCGGTCCATATCTGAGGGAGGACCAGTTTATCTGACGCACACACGCAGGAGTGTCGCCATCATCAGCCTATTTCTGTCACAGCGTCACAGACAGGAGCAGAGGTGGGAGCTCAAAACTGTACAGCGTCATTATGAGGGTTTAAAATTGATCTTTCATCCAAAAATTCAATCTCAAAATAGATATTAAGAAAAGATGATAGAAATCCCATCTTTCAATGGCTGCTCACAATTCCATAAACCAATGAGTATGACTGTAGTCCTTTAGTTGTTAAGGTGATTGGCTGGTGATGTCATAGTTTACCAAAATTTGTATTCGTTGACTAAATATCTTATTTAGATTATAAGGATTTATGTGGGACAACAACAGAAAGGAATTTAGTGAGTTGGGTGAAGATTTGGTATTTTTTAGTACTTGTATGTAAAAAGGCAGCTTAAACTCAGCTTAAACTTCACAACTTTAATTTGTGTGATTGGCGCTTGTTGGAGTGGCTGTGGCTTCCGAAGAGCATCTTAAAATCTGTCTGACTGAGGCATAAGGCTATGTGATTTTGCGACTTGTGATTTTATTTGCAATTTATGTTTAAAATTAGGATTCAGTTTGTTTTAGTATCTAAATAATTGCAGCTGTTACATTTTGCCAATTTACCAATGAAATTTTGCTATTTGAGTCAATATTATCTTACATACTGCACAGCCCTGCTGATGGGTAAATAAATGGACTATGAAGGTGTGTCTAAACATTTGCTTGGTAAGAGAAACAGTTTCTTTCTTACACAAAGCATCAAACTATCACTTTGCATTTACAAGAAATGAACGCCTCTTCGGGAATTTCTAACATTTGTAGCAAGTTGTATCAACCTAAATTAATCACTAATAGACCATTCTGATAACTTCCTGCACAAACACAAAAGCACATAAAAAGTCCTCACCCTCATAGCAGTCGCGCACTGTGTCAAAGTAGACGTAGTACTGGTCATTGGTGAAGAAGAGGAGGCTGAGCCAGGAGTCGAAGGCATAGATGGGGACGATGAAGAGGATGCGCACGATATGTCTTTGCTCTCGAGGGGAGCTGTAGAAACGCAGGTGCATGTAGATCTGCAACACAAAGGAAAAATGTGGTGGCCATATATTTTATTATTTTCAATGTAATGACTGGATTTTCTATTTTGCTAAACCAAAATACACAGATATTTTCGTTATGGAGGCTTCATTTCAATAAACAGATTCACCTAAATAACGTGATACAATGAGTAATGAGTCTGGTATTGATACTCCGATACCAGCATAGCTATATTTGATGAGACATTATTGCACACATTTTTTATTATTTCAAAGTCAATAGTTGGTTGTCAGAAAGAGGCAGCACATTACCTTAAAGGGCCCATACTACACCTTTTCCTTTTTCTGATCTATGTTATAATGTGGCTTCATTCACACCTTCTCTCAAACTGATGACTCTGTGCTCCACCTTGTGTGGTAATACAGTAAGTGTTCCACTGTGTTTTTACATTCCATACACCCTCACTAGATAGTTTCAGCCCTGGAAATCCCATTCCCTACTGAAATAACAAAACACCGTAATGTTTTGTATGTTTTTTATGAGGTAATAGCATTCTAGCAATATTGTGCAATATACCTTTAATTACTCATCAAACAGACAAAAAATGACTTTGATAGTCAGCTAAACAAATGAGTATTGCGATATAGCAGGAAATACTTAATTGTGACATGTGAATCATGACACATAACATTTAGCTAGGCAATGCACGGCTATAGTTTTCATGGTAGCACAATGAACTAGTTCTTATCTTGGTGATATGATGTAGGTGGGCAAAGTCTGATGCTGTGAGGGTCAGTGACCGTTTAATCAATATGTGACATTTTACTGGACGTGGTGAGGAAAATCACGCCTTTGCTCTTGTTTATTGCCTATAGCAGGTTTGGTCTTCATGTTTGTGTGTGGGCTAATGGTGCTGTGTTAGAGACACCTGCCGAGGGGGGTTACCAAGCAACCACAGCCCCTCCCCAAACCTTATGTCATATATACGTCTAAACAAGACCGCATCAGCTGTGTCTGGTCACCTGTGGGCCTATAGATAGACAATCTTAACTAGCAATTTTTAGGTTGAAGAATGCTTGCTTATAAGGTTGCCAAAAAAATAATTATCCAGATACTAATAATCAATGCTTAAGCTATCGAAATAAGTAGTTAGCCCACATGGTGTAGATGTACTAAATTACCATTATTTTTAGCAGAAAACGTAAATACATTGCATTGTCAAATAAAGTGATTTTTTTTTTTTTTTATTATCATTGTGGTATTGAAATCGGTGTCAAGTATCAAGCCTTTTCCTTAGTAACAAAGTGTGTAACCTTAGTATAGTGACGCACTACTTGCTAATGTACTGAACAGTTTTTAGGTCAGCAATGACAAAAAGTATGAAACCTAAAACCCACCACAGTGATGTTTTCAGTGACTGCATGTAGCTCTGTATAAGGGCTACAAAATAGTGTACAAGAATATAACTGTAACATCAGAAAACATCAATGAAAGAAAAAATAGATGGGTCCTTCTGTAATATAGGTGTCAGAAAGAAAACTGTATTAAAATGTATTCTTTAGTTATAGAACAGTACCTGAATAAAACAGTAAGTTAAATGTATTCTGTTACTTGGTCCCATCAGAGTACTGCGTCATTATCATTACAATACTTTCACATTGAGTTGCATTATATTATAGTGTAACGCCACATAGGATTAAAACAGCTTTATACTTGTTGTTCTGTTTGTTATGCATTTATTTATTGGTGACCAAGGCAACCTTTTCTATTTATCTCAAACCGCACATTTTGAAACCTAAATTGCATGATCAAATACAGTGATGTATTCCTTTGACTGGAAGAAAGTATATTTACGATAAATGTACTTTGTTACTTACTTCCTGACAATGATTATGACAGACAGTGTGCGAACTGTCTCTCCCTATTCTTCATCCCAAATTCATGCTACTTATTGTCCTAATTGAAGGGCCTGTATTATGCCATTTTCAACTCTATGTTATAATGTTGTTTCCTCATCAAAAACATACCTGAAATTGTGTTTTATTTCATTCATACATGATTAGCATAAACCCTGCATATTTAGGAAGAGTTCTTTTCTCAAACTGAAAACACTCTGCTCTATCTTGTGATGTCACGGGCAATACAGAAGTGCTCCATTGCTCTATACACCATCATTAGAATCATTTGGATAATTCCAGCTCTGCAATTGCTAATCTCCACTAAACAATAGGTAAAAGGTGCCTATTAACTTGAAAACTACAGCTTCATGACATCACAAGGTGAAACAGACCATTTTGAGCTTTGGAGATGTAGACAGACTAATAATAAAGGGTTACTCCAACATGTGTGGATGAAACAAAACACAACTCCAGGTATGTTTTTGATGAGGTAACATAACAATAATAACATAACAGTAATATAAAGTACCATGAAAACATTTTAAGTATCATAAAAATATCTAAAAACTACCTGATGGCACGTGAGAATGAGCGCTGTCCAGACAAAGAACCCCGACAGGGCCTGGGCAGCGGGGGTCATGAGGAAGATGGGGGGATCCTGGCTGAGAAGAGGGGCTTCTGGGAGCCACGAGATGTTGGGACCAGTGGGGGACGCTGTGGGAGGGGGTCCCGGGGCCACCTCCATAGGGGCGTCCTCTCCCAGCCGCTCCGAGAAGGGCACGTCTCTCTGGGCCAGTTTCAGCATCTGAATGAGACAATGGTCCTTAGATAAAAAGGGCATTCACATACTGTTCCTGTTTACACATAGAACAGTCTGGAAGTCAAACAGTGACTAATTGACTATAGTAGAGGAACATGTGTATTGATGTCCATAAGAAATAATTAACTTAGCATATACAGGACATTTAGCTTGTTATCTTGTCGGCATGTAAGTTTGTGTCACGTATGGTATTTTATTGATCCAAGTTAAACTAGAGTCAATGTATAGGGGAAAGTCTAATGAAAAAAATGTTTAAGTTGCAATGGGGTATCTATATTAAAAGGTACACGTCAGAACTTTTTTGATGGATATTACAAAAATAAAGACAATTTGTTTTGACAAGAATACATTAAAAGCAGGTGCAGGCCCTTTAAGAGAGTTTAAACGGTCCATTTATTGTAATTACATACTCATTGTTTCTCGATTTTGAATACACAGTAGGAAAATGCTTTGATGAAGAAATATGCGATTTGAATCCCACTGAAATGAAGGCTTTTTAAACTGGCAAACCAAACACCCTATAAGCAGATTTTACAGGCCAACTACCAATGACAATCGCAATCTTTTATTTCTGCCCAGTGACTGAAATTAGAGTCCGTGGCCCGCAGCGAGGACAATGTTGGGCGGATGACAACAGAACATGACATATTCAGAGCTCCTTACACTGGAAGGCAGCTACTGAAGCAGAGCTGGACTTACTGTTACATAAGGAGCAATGGCCACTGTCTCAGGCTGTGTTTGTTCTTTTACTCTGACTGACAGATAAACATCAAGCAGAAGGCTCAGCTCCAGGGGCATGAAAACCTTTATGTTTTATGTCAACAACAATGGAATGGTGTAAAAACAAACAAGAATGGATTAGAATTGCATGATAAAAAATTTACAGTTCACAGTGCATATTTTAAACACTCCTAGGACATTTGGGAAAAGCCTGAACAGCTAAAATAATAAAATTTGAACCATGAATGCAGAGAGTTTGATAGGGATTGTGTTTTCTTCTATAAAATGGCATAAAAATTGCATGATATGTTGTTTGTAAACTAGAATGGCAACATTTGAATAAACTACACCAGTCGCCTTTTAAACTTATGGTAATTGTATTTTGAGAATCACAAATTGTTTACTGGACTATAATACAGCACTAATTATTTAAAATCTATTTTTTTGATCAACAAGTTACATACTGGGGATTTAAAAATGTATTTGTATAAAATCTGAATGTGCAATAGAAATCATTTGACTAATTAAGTAATTGAAAAAATAATTAGTGACTGATTACTCAAATACTAGTTACTGCCCTATTGCAAAAGACTAAGGAAATTCTATAGCCTTTGCAAATGACGTACTGTGCTTTTGATTTCATCACAACAAATTGCATGGGGCAAATTAAAATACACTACTTTGTATTTTGACAAGCTTTTTCAAAATGTTAAACTACCAGTGATGTTTACAAGCACAACAAATATCTGATGATTGTATGATTTCTGGAGTTATCAGATTAAATGAAATGTCACATCTGATGTCAGTAATCTGATCTCTATCTGACTGTTCAAACCTATCCAAGTTTTGACAAGGGAAATTGTGCAAAAAAATTGCAAAACTAATGTGGCAAGGACAACTGTTGCTCTAATCCATACATCACCATTTTTTAAGATCAGACACCCTGAAAATAAGATCTAGTTATTGGGTTACTGAATTATTCTAGTAATCTGATCATTGTGTAAATATAGCCAGTGGTATCTTGGCATTCAAATTTCTATTAATCAGATTAAACTAATTATTTCTATTGATTTAGTCTTTGTGTGTTGAGAGATTGACAAATAGAATCCCAGGTGTAGCTATATGACATCGCAGGTCATTTATATTGGTTTGTAAGGCATCAGCACATTTAACGAGGACAAGTGAACACACCACACCGACAGACAGGCATACAAACGCACAATGCCAATGACAGTGAAGTGTGCAAAGGACATCTGTGGACTGACTTCATTTAAAAGGCTAAAAAGGTCAGACTGTGGCTAGTCTCTAACCGCATATATTAAAGTGAGAAGAGGTCGGGACTAAAGCAACAGATGGATAGGGTGAGAGAGCACCCAGGGGTGTTAGTTGATTATTCAAAATGGGTATTATATAGGTATCAGATCTAGAGGGATTATCATATGGGTGAAAGCAACAACAACAACTGAGGGTCTTAATACCTAGAGGCACGGGTCCAAAACAGTGTGTTTAGATCTGATTAAACCTACGAGAAACAATGTATTGAATGAACTAAATGATAATAAACTAAAAAAACATTAATAACTAGGGCTGGGCAACTACTGATGATTTTAGTATATGACTAGTTTGACATTTATTCCTATTGTGTATTGCTTTTATACATTTTTAACAACCTAAAGGTTGAAATATGTGACTGAAGGAGAATATTACCACCAGTGAAGGCCTAATTAATGAAAATCACAGATGGTTTATTCTATTTTACATTTTAATTTAATATTCCCACCATCTTTTAGCATGTGTTTAGAGACTGGTAACGTTCCCTATTATCAAAATACCATTAGTTGACTCGTCACGATTATTCCGATTAATCGCTGCAGCTCTAATAATAACAGAACGAACAACAAAGCGCAGGACTCACCTTTTGTATAAAGATAAACAACGGTCCACAGGCGAACTTGAATGTCCAGTCTGCAGAATCAATACAGTTTATTAGAAAAAAACAAGGCAGTAATAAAGAAAAAAATTAAGTTTAAGTCTATTAGAAGCATTACTCACCAGTTTAAATGGTCTTGGGGGTGTTAAAGAACAGGAGATGACCGAAAATAACCCAGAAATGGCCTTAATTCCTGCTCAAAGACGCACCGCTGCTCCCCGGACATCCATGTTGAAGAAGTGCCGTGGGCAATTTTTTCTGTATTTCTCCCCCAAAAACTTACCTTAAAAGTTTACTTCTCATGATTAATAAGAAACGTTGTAATCTATTTGTTGCAATCTGACACTTTGAAGCGATAACTTTAAGCGTAGGTTTGAAAAGATAAATAATAAATCTCGAATCTCCACTCAAACCACTCGCTCCACTCACTCCACAGAGTTAAGAGTTGGATCCCCGTCGGATTACTGTAGATCAGACAAACCCCGCCCACTCAGAGCTATAGACCAATCACACATGAGGAAAACGCAATAAGTCCCGCCTTCTAAGACAAAATGACCAATCAGGTGAGACCTGAGTGATAACCAGGGAAAAGAAAAGGTAGCTCTTGTGCGCATGCTTAAAGGGGTCTATTCTGGGCTGCAGCAGCGTGAGTGTGGGTGATGTTCTAAACAAGGTTAGCACGACTCCCACTGTGAGTTTGGTGTCGTACTTGGCTTCCTGTCCCAAATACGGAGCGAGAGCATAAATTCATTTCCTGTTATATGATTTTATACGTTTACATGGATGCATAAGTAGGCTATTATAAGGTAGCTCTTGTACAAATAATTAAAGGTGCATTGTGTAACTTTTCCAGACCAAGTTAGTGGTCAGACCTGTGGAGAGGCAACTCCTAAGTCAGAATGCCTGTTTTTCTACATATTTCTGATCTTCATTTGATTGAATCACCTGTGGAACATTCCAGGCAGAGCAATGATATGTCCATAGATACGAGCAGGTGACAGAGCCCCGATCAAAAAGTGCCATACTGTACCTTTAAATAAACAAAACATGCACTCTAAATAGAGGGCTAAACTTCAATAAACTGTTAAGCAACTTTAAAATATTAACTACGTTGTAATATTAATTATAATGCTATAATTAATTATAATGCAATAATTACATGTAATTACACCTTAAATAACTGTTTTCACTATTATTAGGTTTATTCTTCTTGCAAAAAATCTGGGTAGGAATTTGATACAAAATATTTACATTTTGAAATGCATAGCTAATAAACTTAAGCTGCATTACTACACACCTGCTTGTTTCCACAAAGTAATTTCTTTGCTTATGTTCCACTGTATGACACTATCAATTTACTTACTCAATTTACTGCTCAAAAATATGCATTCTTACTGTGAGAGGGGTCGCCTTTCCATAGATCTGATCTGTATCTTGCTCTAGTGGTGCCACCTGCTTGTGTCCATTGAGAAAATTAAGTTCTGTATTAACATTCCAAGAAAAGCAATCATATCTTGTTGTGAGAGATTTGGAGGTGCATGCCCTCTTCCAGAAAAGTTACCTACCTGTGTGGTGCACTTGAAATTTCAAATTCACTGAACTGTGATCCTGCATAATTAGGTGTGGTTCATTTAGAATTCTCATCACAATTCCAAACAAAACAATCAGACTCATGTAAGCTGTGTATATTTTATTGATTGAGAAAATATACACAAATAATTATAGTAATAAAGATGAAGCATGTAGTACAGGACATCAGCGGATCGCCCCTCTTCTTCCTCAGCGACATCCCTCCATCCTGACCCCTCCCACGCCCACCTGTCATTGCCTGCCCCATCCCTCAACCCCCTCCCCGGGCAGACTCCTCGGGTTCATGGCACCACTTCCACTCTATCTCTTTCTAGCAGCATCTTCAAGTAACAATCTCTTCCAAATGTGTCTATTTACATTGTACATATACAAAATAGCAAAATTAAAAAACAAAAAAATACAAATGTAACAACGGATATTTTCATTACCAGTGTCTGTCATTATAGCTTTTCTGGCAATTGAATCTGTTCTAAGGCTTTGATTTTAGGGATGGTCCGATACCGATATCCGATATTTGTCTTGCCGTTGTGGCCCATAATCAATATTTGATGATACCATTGTTAATATTTTAAGTTCATAAATTAACATTTGACTTTTGTAAAAATAATAAAACATATTCATCTAAGTTATAAAATTATTTGTTGTGTGATTGTGTAAACATATAGCTGTTTTTTGCCTATTTAATCCTGTATTTCCATTTTTACTCATTAGTCTGTTAAAAATGATAATCTGGGTATGACACAGGTGCAGCTTGAGAAGAAAAAAATCTGTGCCAAATATAGGCTAAATTTTCAACATCGGAGCTATGAGAATATTTTGTATTGGCCTCTTTTTGTTAAAACAAGTGTAACAATTGTTTTAGCAAAAAGTTGTATGTTCTAGCATCTGTATCCGTTCATTAATACTTCAGCAACTCGCTATTCATGTGTTTCAGCTTCCTGTTACACACAATACTTTAAAGACTTTTTTCATATTCAAAAGATATATTTAGTTTGAAATTCTTAATCGCTAGGGCAACAGTCCAACTTCCTTATCATCTGAGACCCATGGATAGCAGCCTGCTCTCTATCTCTCTCCCCTACCGTTTCCTGAAGCAAAGCTGAAGCCAAAATAACACACGGACAATAACACAGACGGACATTGACGTTTACTGACAAAAAGCAGCCTCACTCTCATCCAAAAATCTCTTCTGCAATCATATCTTTCTACTCGTAGGGCTCCCTTAAGTTAAGTTATCATTTTTTTAATCATCCTTTGTTAGTTGTAGTTATTGATCCCCATACACAGCAAATGGACCACAGCGGATAGATGGTGTCAAGTGTAAACCTCAAGTACAAGTCCATTTTGTGCATGTTTTGTCTTCTTTTTTTGCAAGTTGAGTTTCAGAATTGATGTGCAGGTGAGTAAGATTGGAAAGGGGCACGGTGGGTTTTCGTTTTTGACCCCTTTCGTCACGTTTGATTGGCTGCATTCCCCAAAAACAGCCACGTCCAATAGTCTTAAGTCCGACTGGTTTCTACGAGCGTCCATTTTGGCTCCTCCTGAGGTTCACACAGCCGCGGACAGACACACGGACACTCCCCCAAATAAGGGTCCAGCCATCCTCGTCTTCTCCCCCACTCACGCGTTTAAAGTTCATTCATCCATTTTAAAAGTCTGGGGTGTTTTGGAACTCTGCTGCTGCTGCAATAAAGGAAAACAGATTAAAGATCACAAAAGCAGTGAGACAGGTATAGTGCTCTATGCATTTTAACTACTTTAATGTAAATTTTTTTATTGTTCAAATGTTTTCTTATACTAAACTAAATAAAAAAAATTAGGCATAACTTAACAGAATTAACATAGAACTGTATTTATTTTAAAATGTATTGACAAATTAAAACATAATGCTATAACCTTCATGGCTGTATTCTCAAATATTTTTCTTTCACAAGATATCAGTTTAAAAAACATACAAGCACCAAATTTTACTTATTTAGATTTGTTGATACATCCATCCATATTACATAAATATCCACATTTACATTTTTTTTTGTTTCAATTGTGATGCTTTGGCTTTAAGCATCTGCCAGTACCCACTGTTGATTGACGCCAGAGACTGAATAAATAATTTCTCTCCTTGCAACATAAAAAACCTAAAACAAAATTGATCTGAATGTATTATGTAACTGTTATTACTCACTGAAGTCACAAAAAGCACAAAAGTTTAAATGAAGTTGCACAATGGCCAAAATTCTGATACTGATATCCAAATCAGCAATATCATGTACATTTGGGATATCAGACTAAAATATGCGCATGCCTACACCCTAAAAAAAATTTTCTACGTTAAATGTCAATAACCTAAACTATCAGTCAAAAGTTGGAAACAGCATCTCTTTCAGTGTTTTTTTAATCTATTTTCTACATTTTAGATACATATGGAAGACATCAAATTTATGAAGCAAAATATATAGAATTATGTAGTAAAGAAAAAAGCTGTCTAGGTTCTTTGCTAAATAATTACATATATTTTGCTTCATATATTTGATGTCTTTTTGTGTATATAAAATGTAAATGTAGTAAGAAAGTAAGAAAAAACATTAAATGAGATGATGTGTCCAAACTTTTGAATGGTTGTGCACATGGAACTTTTCAAATTGATCTGCGAAACAAAAAAATCACCAGCAGAATTTTCTTTCATGCTTCTAAGATCCCAGCACAAGCACTAGCCTTCTGTGTGCATTTACACTTTAAAGGCATGTCTGTACCTGCTGTTGACCTGCAGTCCAACAGGAGCATCTCATTTGGCCAGATGTTCAAAGGGCACACTGACCTAAAGGTAAAGACAGACATATGAGAGGCTTGAACCAGGACAGAGTCTGTGCACACAAACCTGACACTGACTAAATATTTAAAAGTATCCTATAGCCTCACCTGCACTGTTTGATGATGGCATTTCTCACTTTTATCTTTTGTCTAATACTGACAGACCTGACCAGCGCTATAAACCCTATACACCCGATGGATAGAGTTACATCATATAGTGACAATAAGCAAAAGCAGGACTGTTCTTGAGATATTATTGGTTGATTATATTTATTATATTTCCAAACCGTACATTTTCAACAATTTTGTGAAGCCATGTGAGGCAACTGCTGTTAAATGGAACTGTAGACATGTAACATACAACAATATATTATAAATATATATGTATCTAATCCACTCTATAAATGTATCCTTAGAAATCTAACTCGGTTTGTGTATAGTATCAAACTAAGAAATAAGCAAGAATATTAATAATTTATAGCCAATTATCCTGCATGCAACTTTAGTAACTCAAAATGTTATGGCATTCGTTTGGACAATAAATGGCAATTAGGATATCTGGTACTCACAAATGTTCTGTTGTCTAAAAATATGTATATATGTATAAGTTTAAAGCAACAATGCATAATAAAAAGTAATATCAATTAAAAGAGTAAAAGTTATGTTCAATAATCACATTTATACAGTCATATAGCCATGTGTGAATCACCCATTCACACACACACTCTCTCATACACCAGTATACACAGACCTTCGAACCGCTGACCTTCACTATACCAACTGAGTTACTGCCTCCCCATGTTCAATCAAATTCATTCAAAGACTCAAGTGATAGTGTTGAATAAAAAAGTATATACTACTACACACAGTAATAGACTTTAATAGTATCTGTTTTTGAATGACAGTTTCCAGTGTGTGTACCTGTGATGCGGTGATGCGTGATTGGTCGAGGCGTGCGGTGAGGTCAGACGAGGACACATTGGCTGGAGCTCCACGGTGCAGCCTCATGGCCACCTTCCTCTCCCTTTCTGCTCGCTCTGCTCTGCCCGCCTGAGGGGACCGGTTACCTACACACATGCATAATTCTTATCAGCAACGCAAGCTAATTAAGGTACAAAAGTAGTAAAAAGGATCACACTTTATTAATGAATTACAAATAAAATATATTAAATGAAGTATTTTTTATTCATAGAAGCCAGAGGCCATTTGGATAGAATAGTGGAGCCAATATATGCAAAACAGTCCTAGGTCAGTAAATCTTTGGGAAAACAGTGACGCAGTGAAACAGATTCAAACCTTGCATCATACTGCATACTGTCTACTATCTCTTTGTCTGTATGGATGAGTTAAAAGAGAATGAGATTTGACTAATAACTATTATCTGATTTATTCACAAATGAATCACAAAAACATTCTCAGATATGATGTCTCCTCACAGTACATGACCACTAATGGTATCTGATGTTCAATTATGACTGTATTACAGTTTTTAAACAGTTGGATCACATGTTACAGCTATCATATTCCAAATGGTAAAGTAAATATTTTGGAAATATAAGTAAATAGACAATCTTAAATTGTTATAAAACTCATTGTTGCTCAGAATATCATCTACTCCACTTCATCTTAGCACTGACCTGACTGCTGGACCCCGCGGCTGGCTGGGTTAGCAGGCGCTGCGTCCCCCTCATTCCTGGCGCGATTGGCCCCAGAAGGGTTTGGACCAGGGGCCATGGCTCGCCCCCCACCTCCTCTCTGGCCTCCTCCGGCCCGCTCCTCTCCGTCCTTCCCTTCTCTCCGCTCCCTCTCTCCATCCTCTGTCGTCCTACTTGCCCCCTAAAACATATGAAAAGACATGGTAGGTATTTTATCAGAGTCCAAGTAGTAAGTAGTACATAAAATCTGGAGTGGACTGGGGGTTACGTACAAACTTGAGCATGTTCCAGTCAAAGACATAGTCGTAGGAGAAGCCCTGTCTGTGGAAGAGGTTCCTGAAGAGCTGTCTCAGATAGGAGTAGTCGGGTTTGTCGTCAAATCTCAGCGAGCGGCAGAAGTTTAGGTATGTGGAGAATTCAGCTGGAAAATAGAATGAAGTTTGAGTTTGTACAAATACAACTTTACAAATTATGCACGTTTTGATCAGTTCTATAGTGAGATGTGTAAATATTTTCAAAAGATTCAAATAAGCTGTTCAAAATTGGAAAAAAAATACAAAAAATAGTACAAATACTTGAAATATATTTGTTTAGACTGGAATAACTGAATGTCACATGTGACATAACTTCGTTTGACAAGGGCAGAATGATGTGATAAAAAAAAAAAGAATCACATTTTCTTCTCTTATTGATAAAATCTGCTTTTTTAAAAAACTGTTTTTATTTTACTTTCTATATTAAATTCCTCAACATAAACAATACAGATCTTATACAAATAATTCTGTAAAGGTAAATGCGGTGATTTAACACGTTTTTTTTTGCATGTTTCACTGTTTTTGTTCCATTTTTGTTAGAGAGAAAAGGTAAAACAATTTTCAACTTAAAAAATGCCATATAAAATAAAACAAAAAAAAGTCTCCAAAGTCTGAAGTCTGTTCCAAACAGCATGCTTTGACTGACAGAGGAATGGCTTAGTATAGCGTATTAGTTATGGTTGTTGAGTTTGTGATATGCAGCCATACTCACAGGGGTAGCCTTTGCACAGCACTTCAATGGGAGTGGACATTTTCTTCTCACTGATGCGCTCATACTTCTGCCTCTTGGTGGCAGCCTTGAGTCCTTGCCAGGGCAAAGAGCCGAGGTTGAAGTACATCAGAACATAACCCAGGGACTCCAGGTCATCCCTCCTGGACTGTTCTGAGAAGACACAACAGGGAGAGGGTTTCTTTAAATTGTGTCTGTATCAAGCGTCTAATTCAGGAGGTGGTTTGCACTTCAAAGTGTACAATATAACTTTTCTAGATGAGACTCCCCTACTTGATTGTTTCTATGGAGATATTGGTTTGCCTGAAATATTCCACAAAATAAGTAATCAAGTTTTATAATCTGTTCAGCTCTATGGAAAGGTGACCCCACTCACAGTAAAAATGCATGCATTTAAATATTTTATTAAGAAATAAAAACACCTGTAACTTTTTTTAAAAAAAACAATAGAAAATACTTACTTATGACATACTTTAGAACATTTCAGTAAAAGCAATTGAGACAAGCAGTAAGGCACCCCAAAGACAAGGTAGTGGTCCAAGAATTAGAATAATTGTAAGGCCAACTGTTTAGACATCTAATGAATAATTAGCAATTAATGTAACTGAAACAACAAACCTTTAAATAATGCGCAATTTTATTAAAAGCTACTCTAGCACATTTACTTGAGTAAAAGTAACTACACTACTATCCACATATAGTGGTTTGGCATGAATTGGTATATGTTTAGTCACAAGATAAATACCATAAAATAATAAAAACCTGGATCATACATGAAACAAATCTCCTTATGCTCTGTATTATAATGTAGCATTGTAGCATGATACATTCCTCAACATATTGGTGTGAAGCTATGAGCCATACCGGGGTTATTAGAGCACACCCTGACACCTGTGCTCCGATCTGGGCTGGGTGACAGGGTGCGCGTGACAGGGAACAGGTGACAGGGAGCACGAGCCCGGGAGCGACTGACAGGGGGCGGGTGACAGGGAATGGGTGACACATACCAATGCCCAGATGGGTGTTGATGGAGGCGTAGCGAGCGGTGCCAGTCAGGTTCTTGTTCTCGCGATAGGGGATGTGCTGGTGCGTTCGGGCGTCGCGGTATTTTTTGGCCAGGCCGAAGTCGATGATGTAAACCAGGTTGCCCTTTTTGCCCAGCCCCATGAGGAAGTTGTCAGGCTTCACATCACGGTGGATGAAGTTCTTGGAGTGGATGTATTCAATTCGGCTGATCTGGAGACAGAAAAACGCAGCTTTTATTGATGAAAACCCCTACCCTAATATAATCGAAAACTTCTATACTATTCCTGATGTAATTAACCAAATGTAAATCAGGACAAAACTACTGACTAAGATGAGTTTAACAGAAAAAGGGAACTACAATTTATCAAGCAATAGAAATAATAGGCTTTGTTGATTAAAATAAAAACAACACTCAGACGCTTCACCATCATTATGGAGATAAGCAGGTTGCAGACACATTACCAGAAAAAGATACATAGTGCATCTATAATATAATAGCAATTTGCTTGTTAACTATACATAGAAAATGAATCAACGTGCCAATATGAATAAAGTAACTAAAGTTTTTGCCCTTGTTTAACCCTGATTTAGTGAATATGCAGCCCTACTTTAGCCTTGGTATGGTTAGAGTCCTAGTTTAGTCATGGTTTAGTATTTTTGGCCATTTTCTTTCTTATTAATGCACTTAATTATATAATGACTCCTTTTGTATAAATATATCTAAAATGTTTTCTTGTAGCTCACCATCTGGTCAGCCAGCAGCAAGACCGTCTTGAGGCTGAACTTCCTGGAGCAGAAGTTGAACAGATCCTCCAGACTGGGCCCCAGCAGCTCCATCACCATCACATTGTAGTCTCCTTCTGCCCCACACCATTTTATTGACGGGATTCCCACTGTGGACAAGGAAAACTGGTCAAATGATAAATAAAGTATATTCCAACATTTTTTCCAATAATGCCCTACTAATGCCCTCTATAAGTATACTACCAAATATATTTTGTGAAAAAAAAATTTCAAACCACTATTCAATACTCGGAACTTTTAGCATCTGTAAACCACAACAGGTATTTAGCCACACTGTAATTTATTTATTTAGTATTTGTGTGTTGGAAGTTATTGACAGTGTTGTTTGGGAAGAATACTTTGAAAATGTATTGCAATAAATGTTCTCAAATGTATTCTAATATATGGTCCAATCAGTCTGATATTCAGCAATAGAACTAAAATATATTTATAATGCATTTGTATATAACTAATAACACTCTGGTGTCTGTTACTCCTGTGCAGTTTGAGCCCTAAATTGCATGATGAAGTACTGCAATATATTCCTTTACTTTTTAGGAAAGTAACTGTATTCTGAACTCTACCAAAAGTGTGAGTGTAACTGTACTGGAATACACTCAAGATAAGTATTCTGAATATTTATGCGCATTTAGCTACTTCCTAATACTCCTAATAAACTAATACAGTATTAGTTCAATATAAAACATATCATCATACTTGAACTAAATATTAATAAGAAGTGTAGACCAACTTGCAACAGGAGGAACAAGGGCATGTGATTGGCCGGCGCTTTACTTTGAAAAACGTTCTTATATTTGATGTGCAGTGTTTTTATCAGTTCAGACTGGGCTTAAGGTATTCAGATAATCAAAGCCTTCAAATACTATATAACCTTTGAGTCACACTATACTACTTCACTATTTCATGGCTACTAGACCACCTCTCCATGGCCTCTCCAGACTGAAGTAGTTTAAATCCTTTCTGACCACCGTGTAAGTGCACTGCAGACCAACAGTGACTGACCACTGTTGATCCTCATTCCCCCGCACCCCTGAGCAATCCTGACCAGTTCTTCCCAGCTCTTAATGTCACAAACCCATAAACCTATTGTAGTCCTGCTCTTCTCACCTCCGCCCTGCATCATCTTGTAGAACTTGCTCTCGATGTGGAGCTGTGGGTGCTTTGTCTTGACGCATTCCAGTTTAATGGCCACTTCCTCCCCAGTCGCAATGTTAGAGCCTGTAGTGGTAAAAGCAGTACAAAGTGTGGCATAGGAAAGTTAACTCTGCTCAATAGGTTATGCATTTAGTGTTATAGCAACTAATGTAAGAAGGACAGTATACTTCAATAGTACTTTAGTTTTACATCTATTAGAAGTTCATGCTCCATTATAGTGACGTCAAGAGGAATGTATTTGGTTAATTGATATTTATAATTATTCAGGTCACAATATAATCATAAAAAGCGGCAAAATAAATATTGTGAGGACCTAAAATAACTAAATCTATACTCCAGAAATGTAAAACTAAAAGTAGAGTACTAACTTAAAGGAAGTGAATGTCAAATCAAGCATTAGATTTTACTGGTAACAATTCTAATACTGATTTATTCCTAATTACAAAAACATAGAATGTGATGTCCCATTTATTTATGTAAATTTGGTGTTTTGGTTCTCGTTTGGGTTGCCAGTTCCAATGCTGAGATACAATTAGTTTAAACCTAAAGTCACTCTCTCTGATCCAAATGGTCACTACCTAAACCCAAATCATAAATCAGTTCTAGTGCAACTTCTCCATATACTGAGAATGAGACAAACTTATATGTATCCTCTACCTGCAGGTTAAGGAACTGGAAACCCAAGTTCAATTGTGATAGTAGTTCCCGTTCTAAAACAGGTAGGGCACAGGTCACATCCAATTACTATAATGTATGTACTTTAGTTTAAGTTTAAATTATTTTTAACAAGCCAAACAAATTGTACAAAATATAGCCAAAATCTTTCAGAAAATAAATTGTTTGTCTATGCCTCGAGGGGGAATTCTTTTCAGTTACAGACATGTAGTTACTTGACCAAGAGAAGAACGGGTAAACTCAAAATTACAAGAAGAATGTCTAATATAATATCTAAATTCCCCAGCTATTTAACACACTCCAGCAGGTAATGCATGACATAAGTTGCCTTCCTCACCCAAATAGATATCTCCGAACGAGCCACTGCCGATCTTCCTCCCCAGACGGTACTTATTTCCCACTCGCAGCTCCATGGCGTCCAGCTCTTCAACTTCACTGAGGAGTAAACACAAGCAACAGACATGCACAGGCTGACATCAATCACAGCTGATCAATAGGGTAGGAAAGGACAGTGTGGTGCAAGGCTGCTGCAGAGAAAGACTGGACCTATGCTACAATACACAACCGAAATGACTCAATTAAAAGGTTGCAAATATGAAAGGGTTAATATATTATGCATGTTTAGAGTGCTGTGTTTAAAAGTTGGAGTGGTAGCAAGTCAGACAGTTGTGGTGGTTCTTAAATAGTTGATAGGCATGTTTCCTCTGATGAGACTTGTCGTTAAAAGGAACTGTATGTAGCCTGCATCTTACAATTTTAAAATAAGGTACTGAACTTAGATTGTCGCTGCTTAAACCTGCATATAGAGGACACATACAAGTTTTTGTCATTGTCTGTATATGTGAAAGCTCAGAACTTCTAGAATTCACTCACTGAGCTGCAGAGGCTGGTAGTGACCATTCAGATCCGAAAGAGGCCTTTTAGGTTGAAACCATATGGATTTCAGCACTAGAATTTTTATCTACTACTACTAGTAGAACTTGATTTAAACATATATGATATCCTATATGGGGACAGAGATAGAACAGTCTTTTCAAATTTAAAATCAAATCTTACAAACAGTTCCTTTAAGTTTAGTTATTGAAATTTTAATTTCTGTCCAGCCTATTTTTCTGCTGGTTAATCAGTCATTATCAAATCTCTTCAAACAAAAATCAAACATATTTTTTTGACTCATGGTAGCTAACATGTGAAAAACTGACTTAAAAACGGCGCTATATTTTGAATGTCGTGACAATTTATCGATAATAATAATAATAATAATAATAATAATAATAATAACCAGTTTACGTTCCAATGCATGCATGTTGGTTAAACAGGGACAGCTGGCACGTGCATTACTCATAGTTAATTACTCAACACTTCGTCAATATTTCTTCTAGCTCCAATGCAGGCATGTCTCGATAACGTGCAATGAGAAAGTTGTATAACATAATTTATTCAGAGCTGCAAGAGGGGAGGATTAGCATCTTGCACACCCACAACACATCAAACCCCTCTTCCAAACAAATTTGCATAAACTCCCAGTTCAAGATTGCTCACAAAAACACGTTCGAGCCACGTTTTCCGAAGAACCAAAACACCTAGCACGTTGCAGCCACGTTTGACATTGTCCTGAATGCTGACTGGGTTCATCTAGTCGGCATTGTACACCTCGTTGCTAACCCATTCACACAGGGATAACGTGAACGAGCATGTAGCATAGTGCACGTTGGCCCTTACCTCACGTTGCATCCATTGCTCCCACAACCTACAATGCTAAAAGATGTGCGCGCTAGGCTACGTTACAAAACATGCTAATAGTGCTGGGAATATAATGCAAAAATACTGCTCCGGGTCGTGCCCTAGATACCACGACCAGACAGGAAATGTGGAAATGAGCTGAGAGCAAAATATACCCGCTTTCGTCCCTGACTGACCAGAAAATGTGGTAATAGTCCACGTAGCCGCGCCCTCTGAACTGGATCACCAATGCGCATAGCCAGAACGCACACGAAATAAGGACTAAATAGTAAATTCTGTGTTCATAAAAAGAAATATTTATTCACAACATGCATCTCCCGACCTACCTCCTCCTTCACAGCAGCCGTGTCTCACTCAGGACCCTGGACAGCTACGCACCGAAGCGGCTCCGGGCGGCTCATAACCTCTGGACACCGATCCTCCAGCTCCAGAAACAACAGAAAAAATGTAGCACGGCGCAGTAAGAAGAGGGTACCCGACTTTAAAAAGAAGAGGAGGAGGGCGCCCAAACCAGACACTAATAACGAGGTCCTTCTCCTGCCCAAGCTCACACACCCCCACCCGCTCGGGCCAGTCTCGGCTTACACCATTGACAGTATCACGATGATGTCATCCGCAGGCTCGTATGCGCAGGGGCCGTGCAAAGGAGTGCGCAGCGTCCTGACGTGGTTGCAGACATGAATGAAATAGGGTCTATGAAGTTCACTGAATTTGCTGACCAATAAAGGCCGACCATAAGTATCCAATGTCCAATTCAAACAAAAATATCTAGTAGACGTATAGGAGTGATTTACCCACTCCATTCAATATTCTTTGAGTTGTTTTAAAGAGGACGTATGTAAAATTAACTTAACCGTGTTACAACGGTGCTGTACCGAGTTTTTATTTACATGTATTGATTTATTATTTTGATTCATGCACGCTGAGTAATCCAGTATTATCCTGCATTTGCTTATCAGAAATTCAATGAGCCCTTTTTTTTTATTACCAAGCTGTTATAGATCAATATTGCGGTTTATAACCAAAAGCAAAAAGCATATTTCTCCTTTAAGTAGGCAAGTAGGATACTATTAAACAAAATAAACAGGAAAACCAGCATGTATTCCATATCACATTACAATAGATTAACGAAGTATTAATGATGCAAAAAAAAATAAAAAATTAAATAAAAATTTCTAATATAGTGAGCAATAAGTACCAATCCAATAACTAATAATAATCTCCAAATGAGCAGCCGATTCTGAAAATGAAGACAGCATAAGCTATATTGAACACTGACTCAACAAATAAAACCCAACACGCCCCAGACTTCAATTCAACCTTTATTACCTTGTTCTTTTTCTGCATTAAATTAATTTCCTCTCCTTTGCAACATTTGAAATAAATGAAAACACCCTGAACAGGAGTGATAATAAAGACTGACTTAATTTAAATTGATACATAATAACAAAAACAAACAGTAAAACATAACAGTAATGTTTTTAACGTGTGTAAAACACTGTTCCAGCTCAGCTTGGTATGGTAGAATTTGGCATTTGAGCAGAAAATGCCTTCAGTTGGTTGCTTCGTCTTAAAAACAAAATATTCTTATTGCATTTGACAGTAAATAATACAAACAGAAACAAAATGCTGCTTAAAAACAAACTTAAAAGACATATGCAATAGTGCCATTGTTTTTGAACTTTTAAGCTGTCAACATGTCCAATCTACTCTCACATTCACATACACTCTTTCCTTACATAACCTGTCAGTTTTTTTCACTTCCCTGACTGTGGCCGATACGTATTCAAAAAGGCAAGCACACACAGAAGCACGCCACAATTTTATCATGAATCTCTCGTGGACAAGATCAAGAAAAAACAAAAAAGGACATTCAACATGGTAGCAATAATACACACTCGATATCTTCATCTCGACATTGTCCTCCGTCCAGTCACACTGACAACGGTCCTTTCATGCACACTTAGGCAGGCGGGAGGGCACCTGGTACAGCGAGTAAATAAGTCATCATCATCATCATCGACATCCTGACAATAGATAATAACCAACGTGATTCGAGTAAGAAAAAAAAAAATAGCGAGGTCAGTGTTTTTTGAAGGGCGAAAAAAGGAGGACATCTCTTGGATTTTCACAAAGTTTCACACAATTATTTTTTTGTCTCTCTTTTAAAATAACGAAAGCTAAACAACCGACATACATCAAGGAGAATACAATTTTGCTTGTCAAATATAAGCAGTGTGTAACTGATGAAAAAGGTGTTGGTGCTGAAAGGTTTGCTGAGGCGGCCATGATGAAGCCAAGGCCACTGCTGTTGTAACATTATGTCGTCCGGTTAAGGGCTTTAGTAGCTGTTTTGTAGCTCAGTCTCGGAAATAATGGACAGTTAAAAGTGGAGAATGCGTCACCATACAACGACCCAGAGGCGTTTAGTGCAAGTTTGGCTAATGTTGATTTTTGTTTCGATTCCCGTTTCAAACCCTGGGTCCCATGCGGATGGCAAATTTCCACCAAGGCAGATTTGTCAGTACCGACTTAAGTCTCTGGATTCAAATCTCAATCGTTCAGTTCGTTTCAGTAGTGTGGCGTCGCCTCCGTCCTCTTTCGTTGTGAGAACTCTGTACGACGGCCGGGTCTATGGGGGCTCAGTCCGCAAGTCTGATTTTTGAGACTCAATTTTTAAATACTAATACAAAACAAAAAGAAGATCATAATTGTGGCACACTTAGAACAGCAATAGCTAAACCTGTTAACGTGTACGACTCTGGCTGAGCTTGTCTACAGTGCATGCCTGAGTGATTGGGTCTCTGAATGCATAAAATGGGAATAAAACCAAAGAGCAGTCCTCCTCATGAGTCCTAAAGAGTTGAATAAGTTCCGCCTTCTCCTCCAGTTCAAGTTTTACGGTCATCTTCATTTAAAGTTGAGTGGGTTAACATGAAAGAATGAAAGAAATGGAGATAAAGGTACTGCATGTGACCTGTAATGTGGTCTTTTTGTTGAGTGACCAGTGTAGCTTAGTTCTACATTGTCTCTGAGTACATAAATACAGAGCCTAATGTGTTTTATACGAGTGTAAAATGAGCATGGATATAATACCCCTCAGATGGAGTCGGCCCCTCCACCCAGCAGGTCCCCTGGCAGCAGGGAGGCGGGGCTGCCCATCTGATGACGATCCTCCAGTGCAGGAGAGCCCCAGAGGCTGTTGCTGGTAACCTGCTCCACTCATGCCACCCATGCCCCCCCACAGAGCCTGCCTCCCTGCCTCCACACCTCCAGCCCCTCCGGCCCCATTGCTGCTCCACTGGGCGAATGCACCCAGCCCGGGCCCATGGGTCTGGTCTGATGAGCTGCCTGTGCTGTCCAGACTCCATCCTGAGCTGTTGGGCCCAGCTCCTGCTGTGGAAGCTGCTTCTACCCCCACTGCCCCCGCACTGCCCCCTGCTGCTCTATCAGCTGCACTACCGTTAGCCCCCAGTGCGGGGGCAGCAGCAGGCCCAGAGCCAGCAGAACCTGCCTGAGTTCCTCCACTTCCTGCTCCTCCTGCCTGGGAATGTGCGATGTACCGAGCCACATCCTCCTCGCTCACAAACTCTGCCAAGATTGTTGTGTTTCCTAAAACACACCTAAACACACAACAGAAACTATGTGTTAGCCATACGTTCATCACAAACTCATGTCTAACAAACACAGATCGTAAATGCCAACCTAAAAGCTAAAAACATACAGAATTGACATGATCTTACATATGAAGTGCACTCTGGGCTTTGGCAGCCTCTTGTTTGGAGCTGTAGCGTATGAGGGCTGTTCCCTGGGTCAGGCCGAGGTGAAAGGTCAACAGAGGGCCATGCTGCATGCAGATGGTCCTCAAGGTCGAGCCATCAATCTGCAGGAGGAAAAAAGGTGCATGTGACTTTGGACTTGTGTCTTTCGCCATTTTACAAGTTCTTTGTCTTGAAATAGCTGCTATTGGTTTGTGTACCTGAGGAGTGAGATTGCTTAGCACCAGCCAACAACTTTCTCGAGGGCTTCCATCACTCCAGGTTGTGCCTATAAAAAAGCAATAAAGAAATTCTCATATCTATGGATAAACAATGCTGAGACGAAGAACTCCACGAGAGCATTACCAGCTGTGGCCGATCCACTGCTCCAGGCCCTGCCAGCCAATCGCGGGGCTCCACCTGACCATGGGGTAGGAGAAGACTGCTTCTGACTGGCCAGCCCTGGAGGAGGACGGGACAGCTGGCTCTGACTGCCCCCACGATTAGCTTTCCACGATTTGTGTCCAATGGGTTCTGGAGGCCAGCTGGTCTTGAAGTCAGTGTACTTTGCTAAAAAAAAGAAAAACAAAGTTTATCATCCAATCTATTGTAATCACCATTTACCGGCAACATGGCATGTTTTTTTACTAGAAGAAAATGCCAGTGTTATGGTTACCCGAGTTGTGTGCGTTGGAGAGAGGGCTGTCTGAGGCACTCAAAGGCCAGGCACCATGTGAAGGCAGCAAGGTGTTGAGGGGAGGATTGGAATCTGTAATACATGCCACAGACAACAGTGTCAACAGTGTCAACATATAAATTCAAATCACTGAATGAACAGATGCTCACCAGTATTGTCTAATAACTGGTGCTCGCTGTCATTGAGGCCAGGAGACACTGCGTTTCCCATCATCGCTGGCGTTATGTAGGGATCAGTATCAGGGTCAACGCGGTCTATTCCTTTCCATGGCACACCAGGCTGGAATTCTGTCCAAAGAGACACGAATGTAGTAGTTTAGGTAGGAAAATGCAATAAAAAGGGTAATAGATAAAATCTTCTACAAACCTGGAGGCCAGCTGGGTGCAGTAGTAGCCTTGGCTCCCATTTTGTTCCCAGGTGTGCGGTGCCAGCTATCACCAAGGCCGTCTCCAACCATCATGTCGTACTGTGAGTAGGGCGAGCCCCCCGGCATTTTCATGGGAGTGACAGGGCCTGAGAGATGAGATGATAGATGTTACATCACACAGTACCAGATGGATCCATAAATCATCTACCAGATACTTCACATCAGTTTCTCTGATAGACAAATATGTTTCTCACCATTTTTATGGAATGCGTTCTCAGCATGAGAGGAGTCTGGTGATGACTGGCCTTCCATCATCCATTTGAAGCGTGATTGCTGACCGCCGAAGTCCTTCATGGGCCCTGGCCCCCCTATGACCGAGCTGCCCAGGTCCAGACCTGAGAGGTTCACCCCGGAACCAAAACCTAACATTTTTAAAAGCAAAATCACATATTATCATTAATGTAATCATAAATGTTAGTCCAAGCA